GCGACGTTGCGGCGAGTTATGCTGAATGACCCGCTCATGAATTCACCGTGGATTCTCGCGGAGGGTAGTTCTTGCGTCGAATAGCTGGATTTTCCGCGATCGTGACTTCCGCTTTCATTTCGTCGCGATCGTCAGCTGCGATCTTTGTGTAGAATCGCTCTCAATAAGTCATTAAGACCGTCTGTCATTCGGGATAACAATTTGCGGTTTTTTTTTTTTTTTTCGCCTAATGAGTCGCACGCATACGCGGCGATGAAAGGAACTCTCCCGACTAGTTTCGTTTTCAATGTCGATGCCTTCAAAATTCTTCCTCGCGTGACACATATGGCACCGCAAAATTTGCACGTGTCTTGAAATTTTACTTTTCAAAAATTTTCCATTCCGTCGAAATCGTGCGTAAATCGAAGCGATCACCTCTGCTCCGACCTGCAATCAGAATTTCGTTGCAATCGCGATCGCGTCCACCGCCGCTCGTAATCGGCTTCCGCGATAATCAAGCCGCGGTGGCTCTCGCATTATAATTATCGATAAAAATCCCGCAGCTGCCGCGGCTGCTGGCCGCAAGGAGACGATCGGCATCAGCTCCTCGTCATCTTCTCTCCCGTCCTCTCTCTCTCGTCGGACGCAACAAAAGTGCAAGTGGAAGAGCGGAGCGTTAGCCGCCGGGCGAGACTTCGTTGCACTCCTTCCCTCCTGACCCCCCTTTTCGTACCGTCCCCTCTCTATCCTCTTCCACCGCCCGACTCTCGCTCGCGAACTCCTCCTCGCAATCGTCTCACCCCTCCCGTGCACGTCCTCACTACTCCCTCCGCTGTCCTGGCTGACCGCCCTCCGCCCCCGGTTGCCCCTCTCGCCCCGAGAGACTGCACGCTCACATGCAACGAGAGCCAGACCGGCCGGCTGGCACTCAGTCGCTTTTAGCGCCGTGCATCTCCGAGTCAGTCAGTCAGTCAGTCATTGAGTCAGTCAGTCGGTGAATCGGGTCGCTCGAGTACGCGCGTGAGGTATCGGCTGCGCTCTCTTTTGCACATCGTGTGTAACCATACTTTACTCTCACCTTTTTTTCTTCTTTTCTCATTCTTCGTCTCCTCTTTCTCTCGCCTCTTATCTTTTTCCTTGTTTACTCGCGTTCTTTCCCCCTTCCTTTTTCTCTCTCTCTTTCTCTCTCTCTCTCTCTCTCTCTCTCTCTCTCTCTCTCTCTCTCTCTCTCTCTCTCTCTCGTCGTCGTCGTCGTCGTCGTCGTCGTCGTCGTCGTCGTCGTCGTCGTCGTCGTCTCTCTCTCT